AGCAGAAACCAAGGGCATTTCAGCCCAAACGACCTTCGTAACTTGATCTCTTGCATTCCTTGTATTCTAGCCAAGGAGACAAACACTGCATGTCATGTCTGAGAAGTGCCTGGCGCGGTCACATTTACAGAGTGCTTTTATTTATGTTACCAGAATCTCGTCACATTCTTTTTATTAGTATTATGATTTTTAATCCTCACCGAGGATATTTTTCCCATTGATCTTAGAGAGAGTGAAGGGGGTCGGGAGAAAAAGAGAAAGAGAGAAAGAAAGAAAGAAAAGAAAAGAAAAGAAAAGAAAAGAAAAGAAAGAAAGAAAGAAAGAAAGAAAGAAAGAAAGAAAGAAAGAAAGAAAGAAAAAGAGAGAGAATCATCTATGTGAGAGACACAGAGTGACTGGCTGCCTCCTGCATGCACCCCGACTGCGGTTAGGGCTCAAACATGAACCTGAGGTACGTGCCCTTGACCACATAACGAACCTGACACCCTTTGGTCCATGAGCCGACGCTCAAACCACTGAGGAAACCGGCCAGGGCCATCACACTCTACCTGTGAGGAAACTGAGCTCAGGCCAGGTAAGAAACATCCTGAGGCTCTCCAGTTAGTATCTGGCACAACCCCAAGATGGGGACTGGATCCTGCCGAGGCCGAGGAATGCAGCAGAGACCGGTGTTCCGTGGGCCTCGGGTCCAGCCTCAGGTCTGCCACTAACTGGTCTTGTAGCGTGTCCAGGCCTCACGCCTCTCTGCGTTTGAATGGCACAATCACAGGACCTGTGCCGTCAGGTTCTTGTGCGGGTAGAAGGGCGTGAGGCATAAGAAGAGCTTGGCAGAGTCCCTGGCACAGGGAGTTCCAGGAAATGGTAGCGGTTAATGTTAGTTTGGTTCTCCATCTATTAGAGATAAATCTACCTTCAGCTACTAGGACAGTGAGCAGTATCAACTTAAACACGTGGGTTATTTTTCTCTCACAGCAAGAAGCTTGAAAGCCGGCAAGTCACCGCAGCCATCAGCCGAATGGCACCATCAAGGGCCACTTGCCTTTCGCCCGTTCCGGTCTCCAGAGCGTTTTGATTTGCCGCTTCATGGCTGCAAGGTGGCTGCTGCACTCCATCTACCATGGCTGGGGGCGGGGTGCAGTGCCAGGGACTCCCCCTTCTGTAAAGAAAGCAAAAGCTACCCCAGAGCCCCGCTTCCAACCAAAGCAGGTTTCTGCTTTTGTCTCACTGGCCTGGACCAGGTCTCCTGACCATTTATAGCTGCAGGGACTTGGGAAGTGAGCATTTAACTTTTCAGATTTGATCGGATAAGTGGCGGGGAAGAAGGTGGCTCAACGGGGGGTAGCCTGAGCCCGATGTGTTTGCCTCAGTTCTTCCTGCATCTTGGGTTGTCAGGTTAGAGGGCTTAGTTAATCCTGGTCACCTGTTCATGGCACGTGCACAGCAAAGCCCTTTTGTTTTTACAAAATATGTGGTTCCATGTGCATCTGTTTTTCCTAACCTTTTAATTAAACTATAGGTTGCGCGCGTGCGCTCACACACACACACACACACACACACACACACACACACCCTGAGGTGTTTCTAGATGGCTCAGTAGAGTTTTCCTATTTATCTTCTTGCAAGCACCACTCTGGCTACTCTTTGGAACACTCCCAGCTCCCAGAAATCTCCCTCTTCCGCCTGCCAGTACTGCTGCCCAAACGGAACTACTCCTCTGCTCTCTAACCCCAGCTCTTGTTTGCCTGTTCTTTGACTCCATCTAAATGGAACTGTGCATTTGTATGTACCGTAGTTTCTCCCTCCCCACCCCATTATCCATGGGACGCATGCTCCAGGACCCCCAGTGGGTGCCTGAAAGCAGGGGCAGCTCCGGACCCAACACATGCTATGTTTTTCCTGGACATATACTTAACAGACACCCTTCCCGGCTCCTCTCAGGCGTGTCTGAGTTGCCAGCAGCACTCCTCATGTGCTTTGGGGCCATTATGAAGTAAAGTAAGAGTGACGAACGGAAGCACTGTGATGCCCGGACAGTTGATCTGATCATGGAGAAGGCTCCCACGTGACTAACGGGCAGGGAGCATATAATCGTGTGGATGCGCTGGACAAAGCGGTGATTCATATCCCAGGCATGACCCTGGGGGAAGGCGTGAGATTTCATCAAGCTGCTCAGTGGCATGCAAGTTACAACTTATAAGTTGTTTATGGAATTTTCAGTTTAACATTTCTGGCCCCTGGTTGACTGTAGGTCACTGAAGCTGCGGAGAGTGAAAGCGGGGGCCGGGGAGACAGCTGTGTGACTCGGTTCACTCACCGTGAGAGTCACTGTCCTTGCACGAAGCGGGGCTGCATTCGCCACGGGTCCCCGTCCTCTCTGTGCATTGTCTGTCTGTGCAGGCCTGGGAGAAGCGGGCTCTGGGGAGCCAGCCCTTCCCGCTCACGGAGCATCTTCGCCTCAGAAAGCCCAGGCTGGCCTGGCCCTGCTCCCCCAGCGCCACTTCCACTTAAAAGGAATCTCCTAGGGACTCGTGCGTTTGCCTTGGATGCTGTCAGCATATATTCTTGAGCACTTCTTCGTTTGGAGAGGGTGGAAGAAGAGAATAAGGGGGATGGGTTTGGAAGGACGTTTTTAGGCAAAGGGCATAAAAAGCAACTGAAAGCGTCGCTAGGAACCTGGAAGCCAGCGTTCCCCACAGAGGTCTATGTGTCTTTGGTGCCCCAGCCCTTCTGCTAGTCTCTGCAGCGCTCAGGGACTTAACTCACAGCAGCTCTGGCCCTCCTGGGGCTGGGAAACTGGTCTGAATTCGGGTTCTGAGAAGCCTTCCTCCTGCAAGGCTGGCTGGGCGTTCCCTCTCAAAGCCAGTGTGGTTTTCCTTTTAGAACGCTCCACCCAGGACACACTTGAGAACAAGAACAAAGCCTGGTGCTTTTCAATGGAGTCTTAATGAAGATGAAAGGGACTAGCTATTCCTGCAAGTACTGGCTTGCGGATAAGTCAGGGATCACGTAGAAAAATTGAAACTATGCAGTTTGCTCTCGTGGCTGGAGGTTGTCTTCTCTTGAGGTATCTGCTGGTCCCGGGCCTGTGTCTGCTGGGACAGCGCGCTGAAATCTCAGGCAGAGGCCTAGTCGGACGTTCTGTGCGTGGCAGCTACAGCAGACTGCAGAGTGATTGGCTTGGCAAGCTGGCCCATCCTGGATGCTTCCATTTAGTCCCGCATCCTTACATGCTGTGTCTGTGGTCATGTGGCATCAAGTGAAAGAACAACCTAACCCATTGCCTCTGACATGGATGGCCAACCTTGAATTTAGCAATATTTATTATAACAAGTTTGCGATATTTTATTAAGTTTGTAGAGCAATCTATGTGGCCCTAGCCCTTACTGGGGATTTTGCATATATTATTTCAATTATTCCCCATAGGAACTGGGGAGATACATAGAACTATTTGCAGTATGCAAGTGAATAAATTAAAGATTAGAGAATTTAACTAACCTGCTAGTAAGAAACAGGCTTAAGAAATAGGGTTGTGCCCTAACCAGTTTGGCTCAGTGGGTTAAGCATGGGCCTTGGGACTGAAGGGTCCCAGGTTCAATTCCGGTCAAGGGAATGAGCCTTGGTTGTGGGCACATCCCCAGTGGGGAGTGTTCCGGAGGCAGCTGATCAAAGTTTCTCTCATCGATGCTTCTAACTCTCTATCGCTCTCCCTTCTTCTCTGTAAAAAAATAAATAAAATTTAAGAAAAAGAAGTAGGGTACTTATGCAAACTATTTGTTGAAAATAGCCACTGGCCTTTCTGTCATGCTTATCCTTTCATCGGCCCATGCTTCCCAGTCACTCACCCAAGACATACTCTTCAGTGTTTATCCAACAAGGGACTGGTTTTCAGACAGCTAAAAGCTGCAAATACCTTGCCACATATTTTAATTTTAGCTAATTGGTGAAGCTTCACTGTAACACAATTATATTTTATTAAGGAAATTTTTAAAACTATTTAAAACACTCTGAAAGATAATAAGGAGACATTGGTTTCAGTCCTAATGTCACCATGGATCAAAACAAGCCACGAGCCCTCAGCTCCTCTTATTTGTGAAATGAGGAGGTAGAAGTGTGTGGTTGCGAATGTCCCTACCTGTTGTAAAAGGATGGCTCAGTAGTGTGTGTGATTCTAAAACAGCTTCCTAGTACAAATATTTATTTATTTATTTTTATTTTTCAATTACAGTTGACATTCAATTATATATTAACTTCAGCTGTACAGGCTGTACAGCATAGTGGTTAGATATTTATATAACTTACAAAGAGATTCCCCCAATAAGCCTTGCACCCACCTGACAGCATGTAGTTATTAGAATATTATTGACTATATTCCCTCAGCTGTACTTTACATCCCCATAACTATTTTGTAACTGCCAATTTATACTTCTTAATCTCTTCACCTTTTCATCCAGTTTCTCAACCTCACTCCCATCTGGCAACCATCAGTTTGTTCTCTGTGTCTATGAGTTTGCTCCTTTCTTGCTAGTTTATCAAACAAACATTTCTTAAAGGAGCCTTAAATGTAAGTTGAAAGAAGTGGATAACATTGGGCTTTCAAAATAAAAAATTTTTTAAATGTAAGTTCTTTACTCTTCCAAGCAAAGCTACATTTTATTTATCATTTATCATTGTATTTCCCAGTTCGTCATTCCCACCAAAAGAAAAGCAGGTTCTTAAATAATGCATATTGGAGCTTAGATTCCATGAGGGTCTGGCAAGTTTTAATCTTGGATAAGATGATGTAAAATATTGCCAATAGCCAACCTTAGGTTGCCAACCCAAATATAAATCCCTACTTGTTCAGTATATGAATTTATAATGTAAACTGTTTTAAATTACCGTACACCTTAATTCTATTGAATAGAATTAAGACACTGTTGAGCAACTCTAAAAATAAAACTAATGCAATATTATGGTCTAATTGGTTAAGAATGTGCTATACTTTTACTACATCATTTTAGACCCAACAAAGAGAAAACTGGCCATGTGAGTGACTCAGGAGCATCTGTCATCAAGCATGGGCTCAATCCGGAGAAGGTCTTCATGCAGGTTCATTATTTAAAGGTAAGCACATCTGAGAATCAGAAGCCAGTGACTATGGTATGGCACTTTTTAGATTATACACATAAACAATGAAGATCAATAACATGGTTGAGCTAAACAAAACAATGATCAATATTATGATGATATTTGACTGGGTAGGTAACTGATTGTCTAATAATTAAAACACTTTATACCCAAAAATGAGGCACGAATCAAAGGAAGCTGAACTGTTTCCTGCCCTGTACCTCTCTTCTCCCTGCTTCACGTCAGCTTTGAAGAGCAGAATCTTCAAATTGTTGTCAGGTTCCAAGTGGAAGATAGGCGCAAGAAAGAAGCATTTTAAGTTGAAAGGCCTTTCCCGATCGTTGAGGGAGAAAGGAGCCAGGACCCGGCCCCTCTGATTTGAGATGTGCGTCCAGGCTCCCTGTAACCCAAGGGGAATACCCAGATGAGTTGAAAGCAAAGTAGTTGATCCTTAATTTCTAGAAAGACATATATCACATGATCTCACTTATATGTGGAATCTAATGAAGAAAATTAACTGATGAACAAAATAGACCCAGAGATATGGAAGCATGCATAGACTGATGTATTTCAGAGGGAAGGGGAGGATGGGGGTGGAGGGTGAGTAGCAAGAGGTTTACCATAGAACTTATATGCATATGTGCATAACCCATGGACACAGATAACAGTGCTTTGAAGGCCTGGGGAGGGGATGAGAGCCAGGTGGAGGGAGTCAATGAGGGGGAAAAGGAGGACATCTGTAATGCTTTCAACAATAAAGATAAATTTAAAATAAAGAACATAAAGGGCAGCCTGGAACACATCACATGGGAATTCTAGATGTGCATAAAGAGTTGGTGGGTATGCTAGGGCTGACTGTGTAAGCATTTTTCTGATTAACTCATGATAGGATCTTTTTTCTCCTACTTCCTCTCTTCCAGGGTTATTTTCTTCTCCAGTTCCTTGCCAAAAGACTTGGAGATGACACCTATTTTTCCTTTTTAAGAAAATTTGTGCACACATTTCATGGGCAGCTGATTCTTTCCCAGGTAATATATGAGTCCTTGTGAGTCCGTGAAGTTATGGCATGTGGGGACCAGAGCCATGGTTGGCAAATTTCAGCTCGAAAGCCACATGCGGCTCTTTGGCCCCTGAGTGTGGCTCTTCCACAAAATACCACGGCCTGGGCGAGTCTATTTTGAAGAAGTGGCGTTAGAAGAAGTTTAAATTTAAAAAATTTGGCTCTCCAAAGAAATTTCAATCGTTGTACTTGTTGATATTTGGCTCTGTTGACTAATGAGTTTGCCAACCACCACTGGACTAGAGTATGTATTAAAAAATGGTGAAAAGATTTATGATTTAATACAATAGGAAGTTAATGAATTAGACATAGGAAAGTGTTGTTTTAGGGACGGTGATCCCCCTAGAGTTTTGGGACCATCTGAGACCCAAAGCTGTCCTGAGTAGGGATGTGGATAGTTGAATCTTAAGTGAGCTTAAAAACAAAAACAAACAAAGCAGCCCTGCTGTTCTTCCACCTGCAGTGATCTTTGCAGGGTTGGCTCCTTCTTATCCTTTTGTCTCAGCTCAAATGCCACACACTCAGAGTGACCTCAGCTAAACAGATCTGCATCCGCCCTGCTAATCTCTACCTTTTGCCTTTTTCATTGCTTTCATTGTCATTGCCATTAATTATCGTTATATTAGAGGTCCAGTGTACGAATTTATGCATGGGTGGAGTCCATCGGCCTAGCCGGCAATTCGGGGTTGTTTGGGGCCATGGGGGGTTGCCTGGAAGGGGCAGGGGCCATGGGAGGTTGACCAGCTGGCTGAGGAGGGAGATCACAGGAAGTTGGCTGGCTGCCTCGATCAGGGTCATGCTCAACCTGCTCATCTACCACTTTCAGAACAAGGAGGTGAGGTGTGTCTTCAAAGAAGAGGGACCTATACTCCATGACCTCTCCAGTGATTTCAAAACTGTTTATCTAGTCCCCTGCTGGACACTCCTGCCCGGAAGGGTCTTTTGTGCTTCAGTATGGAGGACCTGAATTCTTTGTGATCCTCTTCTGGTGATTACCTGTTTTTGTTTTAATATATTTTTATTGATTTCAGAGAGGAAAGGAAAGAGAGCAAGAGATAGAAACATTAATGGTGAGAGAGAATCATCAGTTGTCTACCTTCTATATACCCTTCACTGGGATTCAGCCCACGACACAGGCATATGCCTGGACTGGAAATCGAACCTCAACCCCCTGGTTCATAGGTTGACATTCAACCACTGAGCCATGCCGGTTGGGCTGATTCCCTATTTTGAAAATGGCACCAACATCCTTAATGGCTATCTTGAATTCAGCCATCCTTCGGGCTTATTATTTTTTCTTTTAGCTTTTTATTCCTTCTTTCTATTCATGATCTTGTGTGTGTGCACGTGCAGGGGCCTGATATGGTAGGGCCAAACATGACGGGGATCTCTCTTTTCTGCATCCAGCACAGAAAGAGAAATGAGCTAACAAGTTCTAAGTGGAGGTGGCCATGGATTGAGAAGTAATATAAAGAAAGGGAGAGAGGAAAAAGAGAGAGAGAGAGAGAGAGAGAGAGAGAGAGAGAGAGAGAGAGAGAGAGAGAGAGAGAGAGAGAGAGAAAGAGAGAGAGAGATCACAGAGATAGATTTAAAGCTGGGAGCTGGGTGGCACCCATCCTCTCTGATGGAGAGGCAGCATGACAGTGACTGAGCCCACCAGCACATTTATTTTATACCCCCAATACCAGGAAGTAACACCAAAACTTAGGATCAAAGGAGCTTATTTGTATTCTTGAGTAGACCAGAGCAATCCTATTGCTTGTCTGGATTAACATATCTAGACCTGCCCCTACCTAGGCTGATATGAAGGCCAAGCTGATTACACTTTCCACCATCTTGGGGAAATGTATATCCTCGACACTGCTCTGCCAATCGACTTGGACTCAGCTGGCAACAATTAAAAGAAATGCCCTTGTGCCTTCCCAGGTGGCCCTCTGTGTGTGTGTGTGTGTGTGTGTGTGTGTGTGTGTGTGTGTCTTGTCTTTTATTATTTCTTCTTTGCCTCTTCTTTTTTATTCTTTTTTATGTTGTTTTTGTTTGTGGTGGTGGGTTGCTTTTTTTTCTTCCATGTTGTATTTTTTATTTTGTTTTGTATTGTTCTGTCAGTACCTGTGCAACAGTTTGCATGACATGGTTGGGGTTGAGTCTCACAGGCAGCCAGCCCAAGAGTTGAGCCTACCTACAAATGGGGCAGCAGGTGTCAAGACCCAACTAGAACTGGAGTGCAAGCATAACCCACACAAGGGACATTAAAGAGCACTCAGCTCAAGAGATCAAGGAGACTACACCCCTGTGTCTCTGAGAACACCGCTATAGGAGGCCGCCCTACTAAGCCTGGGAGTCATAGCAATTCTATCTCATACATAGAAACAAACAAAAGTGGGGAAATAAAGAAACAGGCCCCAAATGAAAGAACAGGAGGAATCTTTAGAAAAAGAGCTAAATAAAATGGAGGTAATCAATTTATCAGAAAAAGAGTTCAAAGTAATGTTTTCAAGAATGCTCTATAGCATGAAAAAGGACATAGAAACCATGAAAAACATCTAGTTGGAAATAAAGAATGGTATATCTGAATTAAGAATATAGTGGAAGGAATGAACAGTAGGTTAGATGAAGCAGAGTATGAAATCAGCAAATTAGAAGATAAGATAGAAAAAAAATCAGTCAATCAGAGCAACAAAAAGAAAAAATAATTGACAGCCCTAGATGGCTTGGCTTAGTGAATAGACTGTCAGCCTGCGGAAGGAAGGGTTCTAGGTAGATACCTTGGTTGCAGGCTCCTCCCTGGCCTGGGCCCTGGCTGGAGCTCATGCAGGAGGCAACCAATCTCTCACATCAATGTTTCTCTCTGACTGTCCTTTCCACTTCCACTCTTTCTAAAAATCAATGGAAAAATATCCTCAGGTGAGGATTAAATACTAATAATTTTTTTTAATTATAAAATAAATAAAAAGCATACGCATACAGATAGTTTAAGGGAACCTTGGGATAATATGAAAAGTAACAACATTTGTATCATAATGGTACAAGAGGGAGAAGAAAGTGAGCAGAGATAGAGAACTTGTTTGAAAAAATAATGACAGAAAACTTCTCTAACCTGGTGAAGGGAAAAGTCACACATGTTCAGGAACCACAGAGAGTCTCAATCAAGATTAAATCAAAGATACCCACACCAAGACACATCATAATTAAAATGGCAAAGATTAAAGACAAAGAGAGAATCTTAAAGGCAGCAAGAAGGAGACAATTATCTACAAAGGAGCTCCCATAAGGATGTCTGTCAACTGATTTCTCAACAGAAGCACTACAAGCAAAAGTAGTGAAAGACAAGGATCTGAAACCAAGACTACTCTATTCAGCAAGGCTATCATTTAAAATTGAAGGTGAAAAAAATAATAAAATAAAATTGGAGGTGAAATAAAGAGCTTCCCCACCACCACCAAAAAAAAAGAAAAAGAAAAAGGCTAAGGTAGTTTTTTTTTTTTATCACCAAACCAGAATTATAAGAACTGTTGAAGAGACAGATGTAAGAAGAAGAGAGAAATAGAGATAAAGAAATAGGCATAAAGAATAAAAATGGCAATAAACAAATACCTATCAATAACAACCTTAAATATAAGTGGATTAAATGCTCCAGTCCAAAGTCATAGGGTAGCTGGATGGAAAAGAAAACATAACCCGTATATATGCTGTTTCCAAGAGACTTACCTCAGAACAGGCTGAAAGTGAAGGGATAGCAAAAAATATTTCATGCAAATGAAAATAAAGGCTGGGTAACAATACTCATATCTGACAAAATGAACTTTAAAATAAAGGCTATAATAGAGACAAAGTCACTACATATATATAAAAAGCATGAGTTTATATATACATATAAACTTTTGTTGGATTTTAAGGGAAAGATTGATAGCAATACAATCATATTATAGTAGGGATCTTTAATACCTACTGTCATCACTAGATAGATCTTCCAAACAGTCAACTAGGAAACAGCAATCTTAAATGACACGCTAGATCAGGTGGATTTAATTGATATTTATAGAAGATTTCATCCCAAAGCTACAGAATATATATTCTTCTCAAGTGCATATGAAACATTCTTAAAGATAGAACATATGTTAGAACACAAAATAGTCTTTACAAGTTCAAGAAGATTGAAATCATATCAAACATTTTCTTCACCCTAGCTGGTTTTGCTCAGTGGCTAGAGCATTGGTCTGTAGACTGAAGAGTCCCAGGTTTGATTTTAGCCAAAAGAACATGCCTGGATTGCAGGGTCAATCCCTAGTATGGGGATGTTCAGGAGGCAGCCTATCCATGATTCTCTCTCATCATTGATATTTCTATCTCTCTCCCTCCCCCTTCCTTCTAAAATCAATAAAAATACATTTTAAAACACACACACACACACACACACACACACACACAGGCACGCACCTTCTTGGATCACCATGGCATGAAACTAGAAATCAACTATAATAAAAAATTAAAAAAACATTCAAACCCATGGGAGGCTTAAACAGCATGTTATTAAGCAATGAATGGGTTGCCAATGAGATTAAGGGGGAAATAAAAAACTGTATGACTTTGAAGAAAGAAATAGAGAAAGATACAAACAAGTGGAAGCATACACCATGTTCATAAATTCAAAGAATTAGCATCATTGAAATGTCCATATACTCATCATTCTATAGATTCAACACAATTCCTATTAAAATACCAATAGCATATTTCATAGATCTAAAACAAATATTCCAAAAATTGATATGGAAACAAAAAGACCCCAATTAGCCTCAGAAATCCTAACAAGCACAAAGTTGGAGCAATCACAATACCAGATATCAAACTATATTATAAAGCCATTATAATCAAAACAGCCTGGTACTGCCTTGGCTGGTTTGGCTCAGTGGATAGAGTGTTGCCCTCCAACCAAAGGGTCCCAGGTTCAGTTTCAGTCGAGGGCATGAGCCTTGGTTGTAGGCTTGGTCCCCAGCCTTGGTTGGGACATGTGCAGAAAACAAGCAATTGATGTGTCTCCCTCACATCAATGTTTTTCTCTCTGTGTGTGTCTCCCCCTCCCTTCTACTCTCTCTGATAAGCAATGAAAAAATATCCTCGGTGAGGATTTAAAACAAACAAACAAAAAACTAAACAAAACAAAACAAAAAACAGCCTGGTACTGGCATATAGGTCAATGGAACAGAATAAAAAACCTAGAGATCAACCCATGTCATTATGGTCAGATAATATTTGACAAAGGAGGCAAGAGCATCAATAGAGCAAAGACAATCTCTTCAATATATTGTGTTGAGAAAATTGGGCAAGTACATGCAAAAAAAAAAACCACACAAAACAAAACACTAGTCCATCAACTTACACTATATACAAACTCAAAATGGATAAGACTTAAATGTAAGCCACAAAGCCATAAAAATCCTGGAAGAAAACATAGGCAGTAAAACATTAGACATCTTATGTAGTGGATATATTTTTGCAGATATATCTCCGAGGGCAAGAGAAACAAAGGAAAAAAATAAATAAATGGGACTACATCAAACTAAAAAGCTTCTGCACAGCAAAAGAAACCACCATCAAAATGAAAAAGGAACCCACTGTATGAGAGAACATATTTGCAATGATACACCTGATACATGGTTAATATCCAAAATATATACAGAATTTATACAATTCAACACCCGGAAGACAAATAATCCAATTAAAAAGGGGACAAAGGATCTGAATAGATACTTCTCCAAAGAGGACATACAGGTAGATGGCCAATATGTATATGAAAAATGCTCAACATCAGTAATCATCAGAGATGTAAATTGAAACTATAATAAGAGTTCACTTCATACCAGAGTGGCTACCATCAATATATCAGCAACCAATGCTGGGAGGATGTGAAGAATTATGAACCCTGCTGCACTGCCGGTGGGAATGAAGGTGATGCAGCCACTGTGGAGAACAGTATGGAGTTCCCTCAAAAAATTAAAAATGGAACTGCCCTTTGACCCAGTGAATCCACTTCTGGGAATATACTCTAATAATCCCAAAACACCAATCAGAAAGGATATATGCACCCCTATGTTCATAGCAGCATTATTTGCAATAGCCAAGGTCTGAAAACAGCCCAAGTGCCCATCAGTAGCTGAGTAGATAGAAAAGCAGTGGACACAATGGAATACTATGCGACTGTAAAAAAAGAAGTAACTCTTACCCTTTGCAAAGCATGGATGGACCTGGAGATTATTATGCTAAGTGAAATAAGCCAATCAGCGAAAGATAAATATCACATGTTTTCAGCCGAAACCGGTTTGGCTCAGTGGTAGAGCATCGGCGGACTGAAAGGTCCCTGGTTCGATTCCGGTCAAGGGCATGTACCTTGGTTGCGGGCACATCCCCAGTAGGGGGTGTGCAAGAGGCAGCTGGTTGATGTTTCTCTCTCATCGTCGTTTCTAGCTCTCTATCTCTCTCCTTTCCTCTCTGTAAAGAAATCAATAAAATATATAAAAATATCACATGATTTCACTTATATGTGGAATCTAATGAACAACATAAATTGACTAACAAAATAGGGTAAAATAAATTGAAAAATAAAATAGAATACAAAAATTTTCTGTATTCACTGAAAATTCTGGAACATTGTTCTCTGCAGTTCTATAAAGAAAGATCCGGTTGTAACTGGAAAATGCAAAAGGGCAGAATTAAGGTTAACTCTGTATTTCCTGCTTCTCAAGCAATTCAATTCTCCCCTTTGTCATTGAGTTAATGTAACACCCCCCCCACACACACACACACACACTCACATACACACATGTAAGTGAGCATACATTACTGGACAAATATGGGACAAGTTAATATGGGCTTTAAGGAGATAATGAAGTAAAATTAGTAAGAAATTATACTACTGTACTTGGATTTTTAGGAAGCAAGATATTCACCCAGTGAAATAACTGCAATGTGACCTATTAATAAATCAGCTGTGATAAGTTAGTTTCTAATTCAACAGTTATACACAATAATTACTAAAGTAAGGACCTCAAGCAAAAATAATTCTTCACATTCTAAAAGGTGCTCTTGCTTCCTTTGTACTTGTTTTCTCCATGTTCTGTGTCCACTGCAGGTGCAAAGAGGGATATCAGATATGAGGGGTTATTCTATTTGGGCTTGTCACCTTTCATTTTTTAATATTAGTTGCTATTCTTGGTATCATTTATTTGGGGTGAAGCAACAATACACAAGTAAAGTCTTAGAAGGAGAACGGAATTTGCAAGAAATAAGTTTTTCATTACTGTCCTTTATAGGGAGACTCTGCCTCTGGAAGAAATGGACCTACTATGCACCCATAAACTCATAGAAAGGGCTGGCAGGTTTTGCTCGTGTGCAATGGCTTTGCCTCGTGTGTTGGTAGAAGAAGAACACCTTGTCATACAAATTGTTTGCAGATTTCCACTCCTTCGTGCTTGCATCTGTTTGTAATCCCAGGGTCTGAGCTGCTGCTTCCATCTCACATTCTGAGTTAAATGGGTCTCATCAGAGCCTGCACTGCCCAGATCAGCAGGCTTGGCTGGGGGAGGGGGCTCATGGAGATGAGGGGGGCGGGGCTTCCATCAAGGGATGTTCATTTGGCTTTGCTGCAGCTGGTCATCTGAGCCCCTACAAGGACCTGCTTTACAAGATTTTCAGTTTATTAAAAGAAAAACTTCAAGTGTAGATCCCCAAAATGTTAAAGGATGTTCTTGTTTGCTTCATGTCCTATATTTTTTCCAAAATGTATCTTGTCAAATCTTTAGATGATAGAAGGTTTAATTTAGCAAGTAAAAATGCACAACACCAGGTAAAATTTGCACTTTGGATAAACAGCAAATACTCTTTTAGTGTAAGCATGCCTCCAATTTAACTGGGCATCCAGTATTGTATCTGACAAACCTAGTTGAAGCCAAATCAAGGTTCTAGAATTAGATTGTTCTCTGCAGTTCTATAAAGAAAGATCCAGTTGGTCACAGCATTCAAGGTGCAAATTAAATATAAATGACATTGAACATTCATATGTGAATTTTTTAGGCCTTATGCTAAGTGAAATAAGCCAGTCAGCGAATTATGGTATTGTGGTTATGTTTTAAAAAGAGTCCTTATATTTCAGAGCAATTTACTGAAACATTGATGGGTGAGATTATGTAATGTTTGGGGTTTGCTTCTAAATAATACAAGAGGCAGATAAGTGATACAAGAGGCATAGTGGCAGTGGGTTGATGGGTACATGAAAATTAATTACACTCTTTTGTCTTCTTTTGAATGTGTTTGAAATTTTCCATAGTGTAGGAAACAATGAGTGTGTGTAAGTCATGTCTCTAGGTTTAAAAAATTTATTATTGAAACATCCTAGGTTGTCAGTGGCCCTGGGAGAGGCTGCAGACGGAGCCAGGGAACCGGAAGCGTCCTGGCTGTGGCCGCTTTGTCCATCCCCGGGGACGGTCGGGGGTAGTCATCGCCTTGAGCTTCGTCATTATCTTTCCATAGAGCCCAGGAGAGAGTTGCAAGTCACTCCCGGCCTCTGGGCTCTGCGGTCACTCAGTCCGTAGGGAAGGCTCCTGAGGGGACTCGGCTCGGTGGGGGACAGACCTCTATGCTTGGCCAGCATTTTGAAAATAAATAGTTGAAACATGAAATGAAATAAACTGTTGCTTTAGGTCAAAATAACAAACAACACATTTTTCAATGTGTTTGTGGTTTTTACAAAACAAACCTTTTTACCTGATTGGACCGAAGCGCCGTAATTAATAAATAAATCAAGTGCAGAGTCTAATGATCCAGCATGGACCCAGCTTCCAGAGCAGGTGAGCTGCCGGCAGCCAGGGCAGTGACCCATCGGTGGACATCTTTCATGGTTTGCTTTTTTCTTATTTCAGGATTTCCTTCAAATGCTGTTGGAGAACATCCCAGAAGAAAAAAGGTGAGCACCAACTTGGGAGTCAAGAGCCTCGTTTTACTTTTAATGTTAAAAACCACCTGCCGTTGTTCGCTTGCTAAACTGAGGAGGTTCCGTCTTCCTCTCTGAATAGAGGCAAGGCCTGGCCCAGCCCGCGGGAGTCCCGGGAGGACCCGCCAAACTTAGCAATGGGCTCGCGTGAATATTGGGAGCCAGTGGCACAGCAGGGGTTCCCCAGAGTTGGGGGCCCCCCAAGTGGTATATGAGGCAAGCCGAGGACACGGTGTGGCCTCAGCTGCTGTGGAAAGCATGGCAGCGAGGACCGTCCTAAAGCCCGGGGCTGTGGATAACATGGCTGGATACAAGGAAACGCTGTCGGTGAAGGTGAAATGTGGGGAGTAAGAAAAGCCTGGGGTTCGAAGTCGGGCTCTTCAAGGTTCTAACCCAGCTCTGCCCCTTCCCATATGCAACATTGGGAGCAGGTCACCTCCTCCCTCCGAATTCCCGTTTTCTACCCTCTCTGACGGGCTTTCCCAGAGGATCCAAGGGGATAACACGTGAAAAGTAGGTGCTCAGTTAATGATGACGCAGCCAGAACAGTAAAGCTTCTGTGCACCAGGCACTTGCGGGCTCTGCTTACAGGAGATCATTGGCTCCTCATTACGGCACCCGTCTCCTCCTTTTTCTCTTCATCACATGATGATTATTTTAAGCCAGTGCTTCATGGGACGGTACTGTTTGCAGGCGCTCAGTTAAAATCTGAATATTGCTACCTGAGCGTTGTGTTTTTGTTCCTCTTCTACCGGCCAGAGGCCTGCAGTGCCGAGGGCTCAGTGAGCAGCCGGGGGCACAGCTCCGTGTGGCAGGTGGGCTGCTCCCAGGCGGCCGCTCTGGAACCTCTGCTTTTACCCACAATGCTCCACGTGAGGAAGCAGAGGCTCCCAGTGACTTAAAGATCCCTTAGTGAGCAAGGGGGGAGCTGTTTGCAGTGAGGTCTGCCCGCGCCTCGCCCACGCTCTTGGCAATGCAAGCTCGCTCTGACAGAGGGAGACCTCTTCCTTGGAGGTGCCCCGTTTTCGCCTGGCTGACCTACAGGGGTTCCCGGAGGGTGTGAGGCCCACCGCAAAGTTTGGGTAGATTCATCCCAACCCTTTCTTTCTAATTTCCTACCTTCATTTAGGCACTAAAAGCAAATAGCCTGAAACGTAATTTCTAAAAGCAAAATTGGTATTCAAACATTAAAGGGGGCATCTCGGGAAATTAACATTTCTTTCAAGAAGAGCCAATATTACTCTCCTTTCTGACCCCTAGTTTTAGCCATGATTTTATGCTCAGAACTGATTTTCAAATGTGGAGATAAATTCCTTCACACAGACACTGACGTGGACCCACGCAAGGCCAGACCCGCCATGTCGCTGCGTCTGCCTGACCGGCAGCCTGATTGGGGTTGTGAGGGTGAGGTGTCAGGGCTGAGCCCCCAGGAGATGACATGAAGTTCAGGGAGGATCTGGGGGCCATGAGGGCGTGGAGAGTTCTTCATCCTCTACCGTCTGCCTACTTTCAACAGTTAGAAATGTTATTAGTAGGCTTTTTTTTTTAATCAGATGGAAACTCACACGTCACACAAATTAGTGCATCATACAGAATTAACATAGCCATATCATTTGTTAATTCCTTCATTTACCTCTTTCTGTTCCTGCCTTTGATGCTGAAGGAAGTCTTATCCAGGGAGATCGTGTGGGCTGCAGTCATTGGCTTTCCCGGAGACCGCTCAAAGGAGGCGTGGCTTGTTTAGGAAGGTCGGAAATGTTTTGGATTTACCGTCTTTTCTTTTTAAACAGAAATGCGGTTTTCGTCATGCAAAAATCACATCAGAGGTGGTCATTATCCCTAAGGTCAGGAACAATAATTGACCTGCGATATTTTTCTTGTATACCTGGCCTGGAATAACTTTCCAGGTCCTCTGACAGGATGGAGTGCTTTCCCTACCTACTAACACTGAATGAAACAAGAAAAAAAACTAAAGTCTTCTTTCTTTTTGTCCTCTTCCTAATGCGGGTGTGGAGTTCACTTGCACGGCCCTCAGCACGGTGGCTCTGGGGTCCCGGATATTATTGCTGGGCGTATTTATGGAAGAGACACACGGTGGGCCCACAAAGAGGCCGTTGTCATGATGGTGGAAGCTACGAGCAGCATCTCAGGGTGACGGTGGCCAGCGGCACCACCCCCTACCCCCCCTGGGGGGACGCCTCTCCCAGGAGGATCATGTTCTGGCCAACAGGTTTAAGCTTCTTTTAAAAATTCTCCTGAAAAGTTAAGGCAATTTCTTTCCTACAGTGAATGTATTTCAGCAAGTGTCCTGGAATACTTTTTGAAACCCAACCGTCTTTCCTGCTAACTAATCTCAGAATCGAAATCAGCTATTGAAACAGACTGCCTACCCTTTTACCTGGGCAGCATATTGTACCAATTTTATCTCCTTCTCCCAAGTAGACGGAGGCCCCACAGCTGGCCCCAGAGCCTCTAATCGCTGGCCCCACTGCAGGATGGCTCTCGGGCACATCTGTTGGGCACCTGAGCCGTTCTGTAGGGCAAGGGTTTTCTGCTTGGACCCGCCAGTCAGGGCTGAGGGGCTGTCATGCTACTTTTGCGTTGTTCTCTTGCTTCAGTTAATTTAACATTCTCTGCGGAGCGCCTTTCACACCGGTGCTAAGCTGGACACGAGGGAGCAGAAAGGAATAAACCCCATGCCCAGCCCCCGGGAGCTCCCGGTGGCCTGCTGCAGACATCCCGGAAGCAGAGCGCTGGGAGCCTCCAGCCCTGGGTGCCAGAGAACGGGCTCGGCCTCCAGGCAGAGAAGCGCCACTGGAGGTTTTAGGTAGGAGGTGCCACCAGCGGATTGGAGAGGTACTCTGGGGTGGGGGCAGCATGGGAGACAGATGGACGTGGGAGAACTAGAAGTCAGGAGACCAATTAGAGACCAGTTCAGCCATTCACTCGAGAGATCTAGAGCTGGAATGAGGGCAGGGATGCTGGCGGTGGCAGCGTAAGGAGCAATCTGAGAGACTCCGGAGAGAAGACTTGGGTGATGGGTTGTGAAGTGGAATGGAGGCATCCAGCACGAAGTTGGCCTTTCCTTCTGGGCCACTCTGTCACTCTGAAGTTGCACTGGAAGTTTTGTCTGGGGCGTCCACGTGGTGCAGAGGGAATGGGAGGGGCGGTGTTTGGAAGTGGAAGCAGGGAGATGGAGAGTTGTGTTTTAGACACTGTCAGTGAGAGGTTTCTGTTCAAAGGGTGATGTTTAGGAGACCACGGGAAGGAAAGCTGGAAGTTTTGAAAGGAAATTGGGACAAATCCTGGGCCTTGGCCTGCCTGGCGAAAGCTCGCTGGGGAGCGCCCTGCTACCCATTACTCCTACGGTATCAACAGCAACCAGTCCTTCCTCTGCTCGTCAGTTACTGTGCTTGTGTGTGCATGTTCCTGTGTTGGTTCCATTCAGTGCTTTTCCTGCCCCGCGGAGCTGGGCGTACTTGTTTTATACATGTTAAGTCAGCAACCTGCATTCTCTACCCCAGCTCAAGCTACTTGTTTTGATCGAGAAAGTAAATAGCTGTGTGTAAAGTTGAGATGTACACTAGTTGCATTCCAGAATAAGAGCACCTTCCGATTCAGACCCAAGCACTGGAGGTCCCAAAGCCTGCTTCTGTCTGGTACCCAAGCTCCCAAGGTCTTGCCGTCCGTCCTTCAGGTCACGTGGCAGCTGGGCCATGTGCTTTCCCTAAAGACATGGGTAGAACATGTCCTTTAGAATCCCGAGAGGCAGAAGACAGGAGTGAAGAGTGAAATGTCAGTACAGACATTTCTCCGGATCAACAAGACATTGACAGGAACAAGTAGCAGATGTGGCTGATGCTCCACCCTCAGAAGCAATTGAAGGAGCAATGCGGCATGCGCCATGCCATTCCCACGCGAGCCTGGGTCTATTTCTTCATACTTTAACTTCACAAAGAGACAAACAATTGCTCACTTTGTGGCTTCTAACCAACATCATGCCAGGATTTCTGACATATTCTCTCCCCTGCTGCAGTAACCACGTGTGACCACATTCGTAGCTCACAGGGACCGGAGACAGACCCCTGAAATGCAGTCGCTTTCCAGGACATAGAGTCCCAAGAAGGCTGTTCTCCAGCCGCTGGGCGGACCCACCTCTGCCGTGCAGGCCCAGAGGCCCCAGTCGGGAGGTGGAGTGCCGTTCACAGGCCCAGATCTGCAAGGCATGCAGCCGAGGGCCTGTGTACTTTTAGCTCTGTGTAGGAAATCAATTTCCATAGCGATCAGACATGCAGAAGAGTAATTTCCTGTAAGTCCTGGGTCCCGGCAAAGTGGAAAAGCTCCTGCTTGTCTGTGGTGACGATTCAAGCCACATGACCTCAGGGAAAAACAGCCCCCAGGGCTCGGACTCTGAGTCTCTGGACGAGAAAAGCCGACCTTTGGCTTCACCGCTGCTGTAGATCCTTGTCCAGAACGAAAATCCACCCACTCTGTCACGTCAATAGTTGGGATCAAAACGCAAAAACTATCTACATGCTTTATTTTATTTTCCTTAAACACACAGTCCATTTCTTCCCTGACTGTTGAGCATTTTCACACTGCCTCTCATCATTTCCTTGTGAGGTTCGGCCCCTTATAGTACCTATAATTTTTCTAGCAGCTGGAGTTCATGCTTTCATCTTCTCCGGGTTTAAGGCCTTGGTCCACGTCAGCCGTCCCCAGACAGCCGTGGGTGTGGTGTGACGTCTGCACGGATGTTGCGAGTCCAGAAACCTGTCTTGTCCGCAGCCTTTTGTCTGGTTGACGTTGGCCACTCTTCTCACGCTGGAGTTGCTCCATCTGCTAAAAAGCCACACCCAGCTGACACCCACTTCACAAGGATAACACGGAAAATGAAGTCATAATGGTTAGAAGATGCTTCAGAGCTTCCCAAAGGAAAGTGATCTGAGGCTTCCCTCCTGGATGCAGCTGAAAGATGAACTCTCCCGCCCTCACACCTTTGCCCCTCCCAAGAATCTCCCCATCTCTTCAGAGCTCTAATCCAAGGGCAGGCAAACAGGACACCTTCAACGCAAGATGGAGGGGTCAGCGTTGTTTGGAGCAGGCTTCTCTGCACCGTAAATCAGAAAGCGATGCATTATGACACCTGGCAATAATACTGGTTTTGCACAGATATTAAATGAGATATTTTTTTTTGGTAGTGTATGGAACATAGAAGATGTTCAAGCTACTCCTTTTTAAAAATATTTTTTATTTTAAAATTATAGTTGATGTGCAATATTATATTAGTTTCAGGTGATTAGACATTTATATAACTTACAAAGTGATCACCTCAATAAAACTAGTACCCATTTGACAACGTACATAGCTATTACAGTATTATTGACTATATTCCCTGTGCTGTACTTTACATTATCATGTCTGTTCTGTAGCTACCAATTTGTACTTCCCAACCCCTTTACCTTTTCATCTATCCCCAACCCCCTCCCAGCTGGCAACCGTCAAAATGTTCTCTGTATCTATGAGTCTGTTTCTGTTCTGCTTGTTTATTTCATTTTTTAGATTCCCCATAAAAGTGAAATCATCTGGCATTTGTCTTTCTCTGTCTGACTTATTTCACTCAGCACATCACCCTCTAAGTGCACCCAAAAAGAAATGAAATCTTGCAGATGACAAGATTTCATTTCTTTTTATAGCTAAACTAGAGGCCCGGTGCACGAAATTCACGTATGAGTCTGTAGGGTGATGTCCCTCAGCCCAGCCTGCACCCTCTCCAACCTGGGACCCCTCGAGGGATGTCTGGGCAGTCGGACATCCGTCTCACAATCCAGGACTGCTGGCTCCCAACTGCTCGCCTGCCTGCCTTCCTGATTGCCCCTAACCACTTCTGCCTGCCATCTTGATCACCCCCTAACCACACCCATGCCAGCCTTATTGATGTCTAACTGTTCCCCTGTCAGCCTGTTTGCCCCCAACTTCCCTCCTCTGCTGGCCTGGTCTCCCCTAACTGCCCTCCCCTGCAGGGTTGATCGCCTCCAACTGCCCTTGCAGGCCTGGTCCCCCTCAACTTCCCTCTCCTGCTGGCCATCTTGTGGTGGCCATCTTGTGTCCACATGGGGGCACCCTGGTGACCCAAGTGGAGGCCCTGGTATCTGGAATTTATTTACCTTTTACAATTGAAACTTTGTAGCCTGGAGTGGAGCCAATCCCCCTGCTGCTCCATGGCTGGGAGCCATTTCTGTTTGGATTTGTTTACCTTCTATAATTGAAACTTTGTAGCCTTGAGTGGAGGCTTAGGCCAGCAAGGGAAGGCATAAAGCTTGGCTTCCTCTGTTGCCTGGGAAACCCAAGCCTCCCCACTGCTCTCTGTGGCTGTAGCCATCTTGGTTGGGTTTATTTGCATACTCACTCTGATTGGCTAGTGGGCATGGCTGGTGGGTGTAGCAGATTATGGTTAATTTGCATATTACTCTTTTATTAGGTAGGATGCTATTTCATATCTTGGCTATCTATATAATAAAAGCCTAGGTGACCGTTATGTCAGAACGACCAGTTGCTATGATGTGCACTGACCACCAGGAGGCAGACGGTCAACACAGGAGTTAGTGCACTCCCACAAGGAAAGCGCCACTCAGCCAGAAGCTGGGCTCAGCCACAATCACTGCTGGTTTTTACAACAAGAAGTTATGGGGACTTCTCTTCCAGGCATGGAACCCTGGACTGGAGAGCCTGATGTGTGGAGCAGGGAGCCCTGGCTGCTCAGGGGGGCCTCTGCAGCTGAGATTTCCTTCCCAATGTTTAACCATCCCATGTGAGTGTAGGACCAGCCCATTCCATGTCTCCACCCCTTTAGTAATATTGATGTGGCTTCTTCTGGATACACTTAGTTGTAGGACACATGCACGCATACATAGGAGTGTGCCACACAGGTACACGCATGCACACACACAAGCACATGAGAGTGCACACGTGTCCACACACTCCAGCTTACAGAGTGGGCGTGGCCATTCACCCTGAGATGGATGCTGGTAAATGAGAACAGGAAGCGGGGAAAGGCCCAGGGATGGCGGCCCGGCTTCCCTGCGGAGGCGTGTCCAGGAGCACCACAGAGTCTGGGAACCTGGACCCGCAGGCTCTGGAAGTGGCCATCTCCCCCAGACTCACTTATGCTCTCCCCTCCCCTGGACTGTTGTCCCACCGATGGGCATCGTCTTGAAAATGAACCCAAAGCACTTTCTCTGTATGGTGTCCCCTCTGTCAGGGTCTCTTCCTTTGCCCTGGCCAGGAGAGAGAAAATGGACGAGTGACGCGCTTCTCTCTGGGGAAGAAGAGGAAGGAAAAGTACCGGCCAGCCCCTCCTTCCCCACCCCCACCCTCACCCCACCCCCATTCTCCCAGGCCAGCTCCTCTCTCTCTCCTTCCCTTTCCCACTGCGATGCCACACCCCCATGAGGTGAGGGGCGCACTGGGCCTCCAGCACCCGTCTTTCCACACAGAGAAAATGTAGCATAGAGCATATAAAATTTAAAAAGATACACAGCTTAACAACTTGGGAGTATCTTAGTGGGAAAGGTGATTATTGTCTTTAAAAGGAATAGTTTTTATTGCACCAATAGTGAAATGTGTTTTCATTCATTCAAATAAAAAAAAATATCAATAGAGAACCTCTTTTATGCCAAGACCCATTTTGGCGCTGGGTTTGCGAAGTGAGTGAAACAGGCGTGGACCCTGGTCTCGGAGAGTTCGGTGCAGCGAGGAGCCCGGGAGAAGTCACTAATCAAACAGACCGATGATGCCACCGTCACCTCGGAGCTGTGGCACCGAGCACAGCCTGGGCGGGGCTGCGGAGCCTCTCTGAGCGGGGACACCGGCTGCAGGAGAGGAATTGCTTAAACCTTCAGAGAGACACAAGCTAAAGCCCATTGGCCCTAAATACTAGTATCCTGGTTACTCAGCGCATTTAGGGGGGACTCACGTCAGTGGGCGTGAAACCAGAAGGATTTCAGCTGACTCTGCGGAGCGGAGCCTCTCAGGCTGCTCGCGGCCGAGGCGGAGGCGGAGGCGGCGGAGGCGGTCATGCTCGTGTCCCTGTGAAGTCCCAGTTTCACGTGGGCGCACCCGGGCCGCAGGGCTCAGGCCTCACATTGCCCTCTTGGGAGTGGCCGTGCCTGATGTGTCTGTGAAGTGCCCAGTCCCCGCCCTGGCGCCCAGCCCGGCGTCCGAGGGGCAGGAAAGGCCCGAGGCTGGCTGCTGGCGGCCAGGCCCATCCTCCGCTGCGGGCCGCGTGGAGGGGGCGGCGGCTCCTGCTCAGAGAACGGGCTCCCCTGACCGCCACGCTGTCCTGTGCCCCCATGTTTGTTAGGACCCTCTGTCCTCCGCGCTCTGTAACGTCTAACCCTTGGCCTCTTGTTTTCTGTCTGTAAAGGCTGGGTTTGTCTGTGGAAAGCATCTTCCGAGACTGGCTGGAGCGCCCGGGACTGCCACAGGTGAGCCCGCCCCGGCCCCAGTGTGGAGCGCAGGGGGTGCTTGCTGTTAGAAACGGGAAAGAATCCTCACCCCCAGGCCAGGGAGGCGATGGCCCTCGGCCTCTGCCCGGGTGGCACTGCCAGGAGGATACTGCCCGCCCTGGCCGACGGGATGGGAGCGCCTGCGACGTGCGGTGTGGATTTGGGGTGTGGTGTGGATTTGGGGCGCGGTGTGGATTTGGGGCGCGGTGTGGATTTGGGGTGCGGTGGCGGCACCAGGGTGGGTTTGCAGCTGGGACTCCAGCTCTGTTCTTTGGATGTGGCCAGTGAGCCGCCCGCCCACAGCTTCCTCTGACCTGCTCCCAGTGGCTTCTCTATCATGGTCTCTGCCCCTCCGCTCCCTCCTCCATCTCTCCATCCCTTCCTCAGGCTGGCTCCGCATTCCAAGGACTGCAAGATGCATTTCTGCCTTAGACACTGGGACCTGCCCCTATGAACTCCCTGCTGTTCACAGGGACAGGTCCCAGCTGCCCCGCTCCAGCCAGGCGAGTCCCAGGGGGGGCATCTGGGTGGGCTGGCCGGAGGCCCCTGCAGGCCCGGAGCTCTCCCACCGGCTGCCCATCACGGCACCCCCCGCACGCCCCGCCCCCGGGGGGAAGTGGACCCCCGAAGCGGAGAGAACCCTCCCTGGACCCGTTAGCCCCATTAGCTGCTCGTTTCTGGTTTCATGGCTGGTATGTGAGCTTCCCTCTGGGAGTGTCTGAATGTCAATGGATGTCTGTGAACCATGAAATTAAGGAGCGGGAGGAGGTGTTCTCCATTACCTCTCCACCCTCTCCTCACATCTCGGTGCTGCCCCACCACACGGGAATGCCAGATTGTCCCCACCAGCCGCCGCCCGGAACTCATGCCTAGTAAAGTCGCATTGCCTTGGGCCACCTGTTAGAAGTTGTTTGTTTGGCCCAATCCTTCTGGAATCAAAAAGAGATTAAAATCCTGAGTCCTTAAAAGGCTGAACAAAGCAGGGGCGGGTAAGGCAGCACCTGGCTCTGGGAGGGCAGTGCTTTCAGCTCTCCTGGTGTGAGGAGCCTCTGATTTCTGAGAAGGCACCTTCCTGCCCAGGCTGCTCGCTGAGGATGAGAAGCTCAGGGAAACAGGGGGAGGCCATCCGACCCTAAAAAGCCAAACTCGCCCTTGTTTTCGTGGTGGGGGCGGGGCATCCCCTGAAGCACTGCTTGGTGTGCCAGGGCGGCTGGTGCCAGGGTCCCGGACATGCTCTGAGAGCAGACTCCCAAACCTCCCGGATCCAAACAAGTCCGCGGAGGTCAGTCCCCAGGGAAGAGGCCTAACCCGGGGCCCAGCCCAGGCTCTGGGGGCTGCCCTTCCCTGTAAGGAGGCTCCTGATTTCCCCCAAGAGGCTGAGGCTTGCCGCCAGCAGGAGGCTTTGCTTTTCATTGAAAGGGGGGAGGGCACCTGGAGGGGAGAGATTAGCCTCTGAGCCCCAGGTTCCTCCCCAAGGTCTAGGTGCATTAGTGACAGCTTATTGTGCAGACAAGCATCTCTGCTGTCAAAACACAGCCAGGTGCAAGGAGGCCAGCCCCGCTATAAATTGTCTTTAAGACCCAACTGGTATTTCCTTGGGTGCTTAACTGTTCAGTGAAAACAATAGCGGCAGAAAGGGCCCTGAGTTAGAGCACATCTCCCCCGGCGAATGACCAGACAGCGCCTTTTTATCGCTGCCATTCCTGCCCGCACTTACAAGGTTCGTGGCGATGACCTCCCGCCTCCTCGGGAGTTCCTTCTTCTTTCCGCTCCGGGGGAAGGCACTGCAGGCCGGGCAGGGCCCGGGGTGAATGGGACACCTTGTTCTTTGTCTCCATCACTGTGATATAAAGTTACGGTGTCTGGGCCTGGAACGCCAACCGGAGCCCTGAAATCGCTCTGCTGCTCTTTGTTCTCATTAAACATTCCTGTCCCCCAGCAACCGAAGCCACTCGCGACAAAAGAGGCTGTTCCACTGGTGAAGTTTTCATTCCAAGGGTTACAGTGGCTTTTTGTCTTCCTCGGGAAGGTGTGTCTTGTGGTTGACCTTGATTTTCCTTTTTGGCCACATTGAATGGAAATCATTTTTAAAATGTGGAAATAGCTTCACCAGCAATAAAAGTAAGCATGAGCCCCAACGAAGTAAAAGAAATTGGACCCACACCTCCTTAAAGAACACCCAACCCATAACCTTTGGGTTTGCAAACAGATCAAAATTGATTCCACCATTGGTATTACAGATTGTTTCCTTTCATGGCTTTGTTTCCCCTGATTGTAGAAGTATTACATATATGTTTTGGAATATAAAGTGTTTGTAATAAAATAAAAATGACTCAGAGATAGTTTTTAAAATTAATCCTTTCAGTCCTTTTCCGAGGTGAATATGATGAATCAATATATTTTATTGATTTTCTTACAGAGAGGAAGGGAGAGGAATAGAGAGCTAGAAACATCGATGAGAGAGAATCACCAACCAGCTGCCTCCTGCACACCCCCCACTGGGGATGTGCCCACAACCAATGTATATGCCCTTGACTGGAATCAAACCTGGGGCCTTTCAATCCAAAGACCGATGCTCTATCCACGGAGCCAAACCAGTTTCGGCTGCCTCCCTTTTTAAAAATAAAAATAATATCTCCTCTGTAGCAAGTTCAAGCTGGAGCAAAATAGCCAGCCTCAAAGGCCTGGCCCTTCAGCCGCACCCACCAGAGGAATCTACGCTGAGCACAGTTCGCATCTTCCTGCCTTATGTGTCTGTGTCAGGATTGTACAGCATGGAGGTGCATATTCTTTTAAAATAAAATTGGAAGTCTTCACTTAAAAATACACCTGAAGCAAGTGGTGCAGGGAAAATTGGACATGTATCTGTTCAGTTTTGGACCATATTCTCTTACCACATACAAAAATAAACTCATTTAAATCAGTTTAAATGTAAGGAGATTTAAATGTAAGACCTGAAACCATAAAACTCCCAGAAGAAAAAAATAGGCAGTGAATTCTTCAACATTATTCCCGGCAATAACTTTTGGGATGCTGATCTTTGGGTAAGGGCAACAAAAGAAAATAATAAACAAATGGGACTACATCAAACTAAAAGAGTTTTTGTACAGCAAAGGAAACCATTAAAAAAATGTAAACACAACCCACTGAATGGGTGAAGATATTTGCCAATGATCGGTAAGGGGTTAATATCCAAAATATATGAGGAATTTATACAACTTAACACTAATAAAAGCCCAATCCAATTAAAAAATGGGCAGAGGACCTGAATAAACACTTCTTTAAAGAGAACATACAGATGGCCATCAGACAAATGAAAAGATGCTCACTGTCACTAATCATGAGGGAAATGCTAATTAAAACCACAGTGAGGTATCATCTCACACCTGTCAGAATGGCTGTCATCAATAAATCAACAAATAGCAAGTGCTGGCGAGAATGTGGAGAGAAGAAAGGGAACCCTTATGCACTGTTGGTGGATTGTAAATTGTTGCGGCCACTGTAGAAAGCAGTATGGAAGTTTCTCAAACTATTAAAAATAAAGCTGCCATTTGATATAGCAATTCCACTTTGGGATATTATCCAAAGGAAACATAAACACTAAATTTAAAAGATAAAATAAACCTCTATGTCCATCACAACATTATTTACAATAGTCAAGATATGGCAGCAACCTAAGTGTCCATCAACAGATGAATGGATAAAGATATGGTGTGTAGGCAATGGGATGTTAACTCAGCCATAAAATAGAATGAAGTCTTGCCATTTTTGACCACATGGATGGACATAGAGGGTATTGTGCTATAAAATAAGTCAGAAAGACAAATGCCACATGATTTCACTTATATGTGGAATCTAAAACAACAAAGCAAATGAATAAACAAATAAAACAGAAACAGACTCACAGAGAACCAACTGATGGTTGCCAAGGAGGAACAGGGGGAGGATTTTTAGAAAATGAACCATGTGTGACCTTAAAAAAGAGCAATTATTAGATTTTTAAAATATAACAGGAAAAAAAAACAATTTCCTGTACTTGTGTTGTCATAATTATTTCACAAGATATTGGCTTTTATTCCATTGTGCTCTGGGTTGTGATGAAAGTTGTATTTGCCTGATTACCCAGAATGCTAATGAGCTGGAGAATAAAACTATCTTCCATACCTTGCCCATTTTAGAAACGGGAAGTTACATCACTTTACTTTGTATTAAAAAAAAAAAAAAAGGATTCTCACATTTAATATTCTACAGTAAATAGTCACCCACAAAAGCATACCCTAAGGAACACAAAGAACATTAAGAGGTGAACGTTTGTGTGCTGTGAGGTTTCCATTCCGGTCACTGGGGTTTGGTACTGAGTCCCGGAGCTTCACCAGCCCTGCTCTGTGCTCCTAAGGGCTACCCCGTTTCCCCGAAAATAAGACAGTGTCTTATATTAATTTTTGCTACCAAAGATGCACTGGGTCTTATTTTCAGGGGGATGTCTTATTTTTTCATGAAGAAGAATACAGTACACATTTATTATTAAATGAAAATAAAGGAAATTTATTTATTACCTGTATACGGTACAGGAGTAAGGTAGTTGTCAACACAAACCAGAGAAACTGTGAATCCTACAGTATCAAGAATTTACTCATTTATTCAATGACAATCTATCAACATCTTCTGGAACATCATCATAACAATCCAATTCCTGAATTTCCTGGTGAATTTCTTGTGACTCCATTTCTTTCAGAATCAGTGGACCAAAACTCTCATGTTTAGCCTGGGGGGGGAGGGCTTATTTTGGGGGGATGCCTTATATTTCACTCAGAAGGAAACCTGTAAGTAGGTCTTATTTTTGGAGGATCTCTTATTTTCGGGAAAACACGGTAGATGTAAAACGGGCGGTTCGCCCTAGCCTTTGGCCCAGTGGATAGAGAGTCGGCCCGCAGACTGAAAGGTCCTGGGTTTGATTCTGGTCACGGGCACATGCCCAG